CACGTGATCCAGCTCCTGCCTGCTCTCTGATTGCTGCCTGGGTTGCTCTAGCCTTGATTTTCTGGTTTTTGGACACAGCAGGCTCCTCGGCACTTTGGTTCTTCAGCCTTTGCCATTTTTCCTGCCAAAGAATGCTCAGGCCATGGATCTTTGCATGTCTTTCTGCTCTTTGTTATTTAAGGCTCAGAATCAACGTCATTGCCCCAGACAGAATTTCTCCGGCCATTTATTTTTAAAATAGAAAACCTCATTCTCTACCACATAACAGATGCACAGTAAATATTCATTTTCTTCCTTTTTCCAGACATCCCAGGCTCTGGTGCTGTTAACACAGACAAAGCTGGGGGCAAAAGATTTATCCTTTGAAGTCCTTACCTGCCCCCAGCTCTGAAGTTGGTACAAAACTGGGAGAACACAATAACCTGTTAGCATAAGTTAGTGTAGCTGGGAAGGCTGAGGGGATAGTCATAAGTAGGTGAGTTTGGCTTGTGTCGATGTGAGGCTGAGGCCCTCAGGACACGGAGGTCTAGTTGGAGCATCAGAGGACCTCGTTAAAGGAACTGGACTAAACTAAGGGAAGGCCGGGGTCCATAGCCATCCTCCCCCTACACACCTGCCTGTTCACCCTTACAGTTACCCACACCCTGGGTCCCCTACTGCTACCACCAATCCACATTTATAAAAACAAACACCTCCAGATTAGGTCTCTCCTCTCAGGCTGAACATCAGAGAGGGGTCTTGGGGCAGAGAGAAACGAGAGCGTGGAAGGAAAGAGGATGTTTCAAGGCCAGACCGGAAGTAATGGGCATCACCTCCACTTGAATCTCACTGGTCCTCTTTTGCTACATTGGCTGAGCCAGATGCATGGGGCTAGAACCATGTGCCCAGGAAGGGAAAAGCAATACTGATGGACATGCTGCAAGCTGCAGACACATCTTTCTTCCTGTTTTTTTTTAATAGACTCATGGTTCATGGGAGCCACTGTCCATCAACTTGATGTAATAAATAATAAGCCATCAGCTACTAATAAGCCATCTTCTGTTCAATATTATTAGAGAAGCTGTCCCCAGAGGCCTCCCCCTTCAGTGGGAAGGCACGGTGCTCTTGTCTGCCACTTGTGGGGTCCATAATTAGGAGAGTTCAGGGGAAGGAGTTCAGATCCAGGTAACTAGAGTCTGGGCTCTAGCCCTTTCCCAAAGGTACCTTTATGTGCCTGGCAAAAGCACCCCCTCAACAAATGGCCTATGGAATAGCATCGTTAATTTGTTTTCAATGTTGAAATTTGTTTAAAGTGAATGGGACCGAGGGCAAGAACAACAGAGTGGGGATAGGGCGGTGGCAGAAAGGGACACTTCCCAAATGCGCAAGGAGGAGCTTCTCTGCCTCTGCCTAGGTGTGGCGGGAGGGCTCTGTGGGCGGAAGGCTGCTTTGCAGGCTCATGGCTCTGGACGCCAAGACTGGACCTAATGCATCCTGGCGGCCTCCCTGCAGCCGCCTTCCTCTTCTCGCTGAAAGGAACAGTGTAGACATGTGAGAGAGGAGTTGGGAACCTCAGTCCCTGCCGCCCCGGCTCAGCTGGTTTCACGCCAACCAGATATCACATACACGAAGCCTCCGTCACGAGACTTCTCAAGGTCATTTCCGAAGGGGGACGTGGGAGAGAATCTCACTGTCTCATTGTCAACATCCTTTATAAGGTGCTTCCTTATAAGGATCTCTGCCTTTAAATAATCCCCCATCTGGTTTGGAAAGAGGAATCAGAGTTCTCTTTTTCACTTCACCAGAAACTAAAATAGTGCTTTCATGAGTGATGTCACAGATGGCAGACTGCAAACACAGCTGGAAAACCTCAGCCTCAAACTGAGAAAACACGCTTCTCCGCTTCCTCACACACGTAGGGCCAGCTCTCCTGGCCGACAGGACTAAGGATCTGAGAGATTAACTTCTCTCTGCATTTTGTCAGGCCCCTGCCCGCACCTCCAGGCATCTCTCCTGCCAGGGCCCCTCCTAACCTTCATCTTGCTGCTTTTCTGCCTCCATGCTCCTTGCCTCTGCTGGGTGCTTCATTTTCATGTCAAGTCCTCATATCCACTACATATCATTATTATCCCCCAGTATGCAAACAGAAGCTCAGGTACTGATAATTTAAGTAGCGTGGTCAGAGTCACACAGGTAGGAAGTGGCAGATCTGGGATTTGGTCCATAGTTCTGGCCAAAGATTCTTACCCAAGTCATCACACCAGGACGACTTTGGGATGGCTCAGCCTCCTTGCCCCATGTCCCCTGGTATAACTCCCTACTTGCAGCTGAGAACCACAGCTGTAAAGGACATGTTATTGGGATTTTCCAAGTAAAGAGTATAAAGGCAGAAGATTGATCCCTGAGATCCTGGGACTGAACCTCAGTGCCTCACGGTGGGCGATGGCCTGATGAGAAACGCTAGGTCTTTGTCTACCTTCCAGCAGCCATGGGAAAACCAAGCAAGGAGTAAATCCCATTAAATAGCAATATATGTCACAACTAATTACATCCCTCCGGGGTGGGCTGAGGCCACTTCTCTGTTCCAACAGGTACCTTACTGGGAAGGAGCCTCTGTTACCAGGGCAGGGAGGAACTACAGCCCAGTCAAACCTGTAGACTGGTGATTTAAATGGACTCATTCTTCCTCAAAATAAAAAACCAAAAGCATCACTTCCTGGTAACTCCTGTGCACTCTTCCTCAACATCGAAAATGTGTCTCACACCCATACACACACACACACACACACACACACACACACACACACACACTCACCAGTGCCTTACAGACCTGGCAGCCTGAACACAAAGCCCTTGAAGCAATGCATAAGCCACAGCAACTCCCTCAAATCAACACAAGGGAAGAATGTGAGAAAGTACTCAGCCAACGCCACCAGCTGAGGTTTGACCAGCACTTAGAAGTTAAAGTGTATTTTTGGATAATCTAAGAAAGATGCCACGGAAGAAGTGGGAGTTGGAACATGGTCTTTGGAGGCAGGCAGCATGCATAACTTGTGGGAACCTAGGTAAGTTACTTCTCTTCTCTAAGCCTCAGTGCCCTTACCTGTAAAATGGAGATATTGACATGAACCTCGTAGGACTGCTGTAAGGAATATCAACATGCCCCTCGGACCCTAGATTCCTAAGACAGAATATGAGCTATGGGTAAAAATGAAACAGTGTCTTAAATTTCATCTCATTTATCTTATCTTATGTGCCTGAATTTCTATTTAAAAGAGACCTAGCTTGGACTTCCCCAGTACCCAGTGGTTAAGACTCCCCGCTCCCAATGCAGGGGGGGCCGGGTTTGACGCCTGGTTGGGGAACTAGATACCACATGCATGCCACAACTAAGAGTTTGCATGCCACAACTAAGAGCCTGCATGCCACAACTAAAGACCCCACATGTGGCAACAAAGATCCCACGTGCTGCAACTAAGACCCAGCACAGCCAAATTAATTAATTAATTAATTAAAACACACTGAGATTTTTTTTTTAATTAAAAAAAAAGAAATAAAAGAGACCTAGCTTAAATAATGAACGGGGGCACAGCTCCAGCAGAGGCATCTGGGATGGGAAAACAATTGATAGGATGAGAAGACACCAGATTTATAGTAGACACTCTTTTCTTGCAAGTACTCAATATCATCCCACTGAATGAAACACACACACACACACACACACACGACTGGATGGGGTGAGGGAACGACCTGTCTCACTTTATTGCTTGCCTGTGCTGTTTGACAAGTTCATTCTGAGTAGGTTTACTTAGGGCGTGAGAATCCTGGGGACATGACACCACGTTCCAGACTAAAGATGTGCCGAGAAGGGACCCAGCCCCAGGGCCCTTTCTCAAGCAGGAGAAAGTATATAGGAGGTGGAAGAAAAGCATGTAAATATAAGAAATATTAGGAAAAAGAAGTTTATATAGGTTTAGTGATTCACTTAACCTTGTTAATGGAATGTCTATGATTTTAAAGTTATTACTATAATCACATTGTGTTCATTAACAGCATTTCCCCACAGCGTATTTAAGTCTTCAAATATCTTATGGTCAATTTTACATCTATGAGACAAAACCCTGAAAGTTCTACCCACCCATGTGTCCCTTGACTTTGTGGAAGAGAGGTGACAAATACAGGTTTGATTTGTGCCACCGAAAAGAGCGCCATCTAGAGGCAACTACTTCAAACGGCACCTGCATGCACCGCTAAGCATCTCAAACTCCTCTTGACACAGATGTTGTAACTGCAGAAGTAATACGTACCCTCTGTACAAACCCTGGAATAAGTAGCTCTGTAAGACTGATACAATTAGAAAATGTAATTTAAGTTGGAAAAAAAAGCCTGAGCAAACAGATTTTTGGTTGCCTTTTTGTTCCTTGAAGGTACCAACCCCTTTCACAAAACAAGCTTCACAGGAAGAGGAACTGAGTCATTTGCCTTGTCAGTTACAATTCATAAAAAATAGCCTCCACCATTAGCTAAATACAACTATTCAAATACAATTTAAGAAGTATAAAAAGAAAAAAAAACCTTAAAAAACCAGTAGCAACAAAAACATTGAACATCTGTAAACGAAATCACCAGTAACAACCCTAGGCTTAATAACAAAGGATCTGCATTCCTGTAAAATATTAAATATATATAATGAAGAGAATATTGGCCATCTTTTTTCTTAATAGACAACAGTCAATAATAAAACAATCTTGGGCTTCCCTGGTGGCGCGGTGGTTAAGGGTCTGCCTGCCGATGCAGGGGACGCGGGTTCGTGCCCCGGTCCGGGAAGATCCCACATGCCGTGGAGCGGCTGGGCCCGTGAGCCATGGCCGCTGAGCCTGCGCGTCCGGAGCCTGTGCTCCGCAACGGGAGAGGCCACAGCGGTGAGAGGCCCGCGTAACGCAAAAAATAATAATAATAAAACAATCTTATCAATAGGAGACGTGATCATAACAAGTGTTTCACAGTCTTTCTCACGACAGTCAAGGGCATGACGTCGCCACAGAGGGCAAACTTTCCAGAAGTCTTCTCCTTGCTGCGATCCTCGCACACCGGGGGCACTCGGAGGCCTGGAAGCACTGCTTGTGAAAGCAAGCCCTGCATGCTGCAAGGAAGGAGGACAGCCGTCAGCTAACAGGTAGCTGGTTTTCTCAAATATGTACAGACGCTCATCCCATCCCGGGGAGAGAGGGGATCTGAACCCGGAAACCAGAGTCTTCCAAAGAGAAATCAGGCAGGTTGAAACTCAGAGGGACTATAAGTCCCCAGTAGGTCATGAGGGCCAGTAGAACATGAGGCTCAGAGAGCTTGATGTAGTGGATGCTGCAGTGCCTCCCAGATCTGTCCAAAGACCACCCTCCAGGGTGCTAAGAGTGCATCAGCACATCAATGGCTGATGGCTCAGGAGGAAGCATCCCTTCTCCGGAAATGGCCCTGACTAAAGAGAGCCGGCTTGATCAAAGTCATGCCCCCTTGCTGGCCCTGGCCCGCATCTAGTGACTGGTCAACATGAGGTGTAAAGGCCTGGCTGGCTCTCTTGTCTCCACTTTGGCAAAATGCCGCAAAACCATCCCAGCTCCCCTGAGATGCACTGAGTCTTCATGGCAACCCCACCACAGTCCAACTTCTCCCTCCGCCCAACCCTGCTGCCTTCATACCCTCGCAGGTGTTGAACCTGAGAAGTGCCCTAGTGAACTTGGGATTGACTGTGATTCAATTACAAAACAGGGGGGCAGCTGGGGCTTCCCTGGTGGCACAGTGGTTGAGAGTCCACCTGCCAATGCAGGGGATGCGGGTTCGGGACGCGGGTTCGTGCCCCGGTTCGGGAAGACCCCACATGCCGCGGAGCGGCTGGGCCCGTGAGCCATGGCCGCTGGGCCTGCGCGTCCGGAGCCTGTGCTCCCCGATGGGAGAGGCCACAACAGTGAGAGGCCCGCATACTGCAAAAAAAAAACCCCCAAAACAAAAAAAAAAACCAATAAGTT